TGGTATTGATCTAGTCCGTTGGCTACTTTCCGTAACTCCAGAAGCTCGAGCAACTTTGCCCCAAGTCAAAGTATCATCACCAAACACAAGCTCATTATCTTCATCTGTGTCTGCATCCATTCTCCCAATCAACCACTCATTGCTATCATCAATATCCTTCAAAGATATTGGATCAATTGTGTCACGAGAATCATATCGGCGCCTCAAAGCTCTATTATACTTAACAAACACCAAATCATTGAGACGGGATTGAGCTAGTCTATTTCTTTTTTTGGTGTGTATCTGCAATAATTTATTAACAATACATTAAAATTTATAATAAGATTAAAAAAAAATGTAATTGAAGAGGTTTGAGGATGATACTTACATGCTCAAACACACTCCAATTTCGCTCACAACCGGATGCACTACAAGTAAGGTTTAAAACTTTTTTTGCAAAGGTTTGCAAATTTGGAGTTACAGACCCATATGCACTCTACCAATCAGCTGTGAATAATGAATAACAATTAATTAACTAACATATTTAAGCAATGATAATGAAATAAGCTTGTGGGATAACATAGATTACCTGGTGCCCTAGTTGTTCTTTGTCTAACCGCCATGGGCAACTTAAAGAGGTTTTTACCTTTCATGTAAATACTCAACTCTTGACCAATTTTATCTTGTATCGCAGGATTTGAGACCAACTTTTCCAAACATTTATATAGGCCATTCATGACTTCTTGATCTTTCTCAACCTCTGGATTAGAATAGAAAATCTCTGGGTTCAAAAAATACTCAGCTGCATGCAAAGGCCGATACAATTGAACTTCCCACCTTCGGTCAATGATTTCAAAGATGTGTTTGTACTTCTCTTCATTGCCATTAAAAGAATTAGCAATCGCTTCTTTAGCCCGGTCCATAGCTTCATAAATGTACCCCATGGGAGGCTTTTTCTCACCATCAACCAATCGAAGCACACGGACAAGAGGGCCAGTAAGCTTAAGAGAGTAGACAACATTACTCCAAAATAAATGCATTAAAATGATTTGTGCTGTCCTTTTGTCTTGTTGTTCTTTTGCCCATTTGCTTGTAGTCCATTCCTCTGAAGTGAACATTTTTCTCAAGTTACCTTTTTGTTGGTTGATCCTTGTTAGCGTAAGAAAAGCCGTAGCAAATCTAGTTTTTGCAGGCTTAATCAACTCCCTTGACTGGGTAAATCGTCTCATCATATTCAACAGAGTTGGACGGTTATAAATATAACCGTGTAATGCTATTCCTCTTTCAAATGTTCTCTTGAAGTTTGGCAATTTGAAGATATCTTCCAATACCAAGTCCAAGCAGTGGGCAGCACATGGCGTCCAATATAGATTTGGTCGTTTTGCCTCCAAAANGCAACTTGAAGATATCTTCCAATACCAGTCCAAGCAGTGGGCAGCACATGTCGTCCAATAAAGGTTGGGTCGTTTTGCCTCCAAAAACTTACCTATTAAATAAAGATTTTTTTATCAACTAGTGTGCATAAAAAAATTCAATATAACAAGTAGTTATTTTTTTTTTTTCAAGAAGCTCATACCTGCTAACACATTTGCTGCCGCATTATCAGTGACAATTTGAATCACATTAGCTTCACCAATACGCTCTACAAAATTATCAAGCAATTCAAACATTTTTTGCCCATCCTTTGAGTATGCAGAAGCATCAACAGATTCAAAGAACATGGTCCCTTTTGGACAATTCACTAAGAAATTAATCAAGGTTCTCCCTCTCTTGTCAGTCCATCCATCGGCCATTATGGAACATCCATATTTTGCCCAATCCTCTTGGTGATCTTTCATCAATGACTTTATATGCCCTACTTCTTTGTTGAGCAATGGGACCCGAACCTCATGGTAAGAAGGGGGTTTCAAACCAGGACCATATTGTCCAAAAGTTTCAACCATTGCTGCAAAACTTTCATAGTTCACAACATTAAAGGGAATTCCCGTGTCATACATCCATCGGGCAAATGTTGTGATGGCTCTTTCTCTCATTTCCTTTCTAAAAGGATCGCTGGCATCAATATTCGTTTGTCTCCCCTTGGTCTTTCGATTTTGCACCACAACATTCGGATCAGGGGTGAAGTATACATCCATAGGCC